ACGTGACAGGAATATCGACTCGACACATTGTGGCCCATGTATCGGTGAAGATGAATGTGTTGATCACATTCTCATCAGGTGTCCATACGTAAGTTTTATAAAGGACAAGACTCTCGAATGGTGTGGAATAAACAAAACATAATTCAATAATGTTGGCAACCTACTTCAATTTGCAGCCTCGTGGGGTCGGTGCCCCAAAAAACGTATTAAATTGTTATGTATCTGCTATGGATTGATATGGAGCCTTTGAAAGATCATGAATGATATATTATTTCGAGGAGTATCTACCACAACATTATTTTGAGAAGTATCTACCACAACATCCAGTGGGATTGATAACATCAAATTATTGACGTACTTATGGATTAAATATATGGGTAATGATATTGTTGGTAATCGGATAGATTGAAATTCCTCCCCCTTTCCCCTATGTGGCTATGTAAGAACTTTAAAACTCTTCCTTTGTTTCCCTTTTTTTCCTTGCCTCATTGCTTGTTAGGCTTTGGGTTCTATTAACATACTAGTTATGAGACCCATGTATTACATGGGCTAATTTAATATATATATATATATATATATATATATATATATATATATATATATATATATATATATAAAGTCAAAATATTTGAGAACTTTGAATTTATAAGAAAATAAGAAAATAATGAATTATTATAATTGAATGTTTTTTATCTTTTAAATTTAAAACAAATAATTAAATAAATAAACAAAAGAAACTAATGAGCTTTAATTTGAGAATTTTGAAATTAAAATGTAAGTTCATTAATGAAATTAATATCCATTTATTACTACATTTATTGCAATTATTACATTAAAATATTATGTTGAATCTATTATAATAAATGAAGATAACTTTGTCACATGTCAATCTCTAATGAGTTTTGACACTTATCATCTTGTGATATTTTTTAAATAAATAATATCCACATGTCAATATATGTTTTTTTTTTAATTTTTAAAATTAAAAAGCCACATAATATGTATACTTATGTATGTAAACTATCAAATGTAATAAATATTATACTAAATTACAATTAATATGTTTCTTATTTCAAAATTTCATTCCTTATTTCAAAATTTTATTTTAAAAAATACTTTTTATTTACATTTTAATATATTTTTTTTAATCAACCCGTGTAATACACAGGTTTTACACCTTCTATATAATATATATATATATATATATATATATATATATATAGAGAGAGAGAGAGAGAGAGAGAGAGAGAGAAAGATAGGTTCATATATTCTAACTAAATATTGTATGGATGTAAGGATGAATGTGAGCCAATCATTTCAAATACCTAAATAAGGGTAAAGTTGTAATCTTAGCTAATAATTAATTTTGGTAAATTTAAATCAATGAATTTCCCTTTAAATAAGAATCGGTTTCATAGGATTAACCCTAAATCTCGTTCCAAGCCTTCTTCACGAGAGAACATACAATTTCTACCAGAAACCCAAACAAGTCGCAAATCTGGTGGTGTTTGTGTTTCTTGGTGTTCGACAGGAGGAGTCTGATGGTCTCCGGAGTTGATGAGTCCGAACAGAAGAAGAAGAATGAAGCAGGAAGTTGTGTCAATTCTCGGTGGTGGCTAATCGATCGCAAAATGGAGGGGGTTGTCCCTTGGGTTCGACGAACCGAAGCAACAAAAGGGACGAACCAGCAGCAGCGATCCGTAACAGTGGAGAGGGCTCGGTGGTTTTTTCTTGAATATCCCAGGACGTTCCTTCTTCTTCTTCTATTTTCTTTTTATTGTTCTTTGATTGAAGTTGAGAAGAACGAAATCGACTTTCTATATCATGGATATATCATGGATTAGGGTTTGTGTTTTAAATCCGGTTTCTTACAGGCATATCTAAGGGATCAGCCACTCGAGATACAATATGTTGTAAGCTAATTACTGTAGCTGAAACAGCCAAAACTGGATCAATTACGGAATCTTGAGGAATGGCGGCATGACCTCCTTTGGCATGGATCACCGTCCTGAAAAAGCCACACCCCGCTAAGAAGTTGTCGGATCTAGATGCAACGACACCAGAATCCGAGGAGAGGACTAAATGTAGACCAAAAATGGCCTCCACTTTTTCAAGAAAACCTTCTTTGATCTTCTATTTTGCTCCTTCGCCTTGTTCCTCAGCCAGTTGAAATATCAATACCACAGTGCCCTAATTATTTAATTAATCCAAAGTTAATTACTTTTGAGGTGATCAATCGAACCCCAATTGATCTTTATGATCAGCTTACCTACCCGTAATTCGTTTTCTAGTTGTTTCAAGATTTTGCCAGCACCAAGAAGCAGTGAAACATGTGCATCATGTCCACAAGCATTGTATTCTAACTAATTGTATATTTAAGAATTATATTTTTTTAAGAATTTTATGGCATTTTGATGGCATTCTGTTAGAATATGCATTTTGAGAATGATATTTTTTAAGAATTTGTTCAAGAATTGTATATTTGAGAATGATATTTTTTTAACAATTTTATGTATTTTGATGATATTCTGTTAGAATATGTTTAATTATACTAAAATGTATCAAGAATATTATATTTGAGAATGATATTTTTCAAGAAAGTTATTATTCAACTGCAGGTTCACGAATTTTGTTATTATTCAATAATATTCTAGTAGAATAACATTCTTACAAAACAATCTCATAGAACATCATTATAACAAAATAAAATTTTGATAGAATTCTAATCGGATTAATTAAAAAAAATCAGAATTCAAAATTAAGAAAATAAAAACAATTCAGAAAATTCCGAAAATTCCATTTTTAAATTTGTGTTTCCTAATTTAAAAGTAATGTAAATATACAATTTTACCCTTCTTTTATATAAATGGTATTATTCTATTTATTTTTAATTTAATAATATGGATAAATGATTTTTTTAAAATAACTAAAATGATTGGTCCACAATCATTCCTACATTCACACAATAATTAGTTAGAATAGAATCACCTAAGGCTATATATATATATATATATATATATATATATATATATATATATATATATATATAATCTAACCTAATAAATAAAAGTCAATTTTATCAAATGTCATGTTTACATTGAATTTGACACATGTCATTTTGTAAGAGTTTTTGTATTATTTCTTTTCCACTTGTACTTTTCTTGTAATTTTTTTTTCTCTTAATTTAAAATCCACAATTTGGTGATATATATATATATATATATATATATATATATATATATATAGATATATAATATATTATATATTATATATATAAGAGGTAGATTATTCTATTAAATTTAATAATAAATGCTCTACAACCTTTCAAATCTCCTACGTTATATATTAAATTACTTACTTTATTTATTATATCATTTGTATTTATGTAAAACTATTACTTTAAAAAACATATAATGCTTATAACTTTACATTAAACTTTTTCTTTTTTATAAACTCGTGTAATACATGGGTCTCACACCTAATTTAATAAAATAGGAAAACTTATAAAATAACATGTGAAAAAATTAATTCAAAATAAACACAAAATAACATTTGGCAAATTAAATGAGAGTGTGACATGTGGCAAAAAAACATTTATTTATTGTAGTAGACTTTTGTTGTTTCTATAAAAAAACAATATGATTATTAATGTAAACGACCTTTATCACCTTAATGCATTTAATTGCATTATGGTATTTAAAGGAGCCTTATTACCAGACTCTTCGAAAATCATCTTTAATAAATGAAGATTCTTTTGCCACTTGTCAAATTCTCAAGAGTTTTGACTCATGTAATTTTAACTATTATTTTCCACTTGTCATTTTTTAGGAATTTCTATTTTTTTTAAAATAAAATTCCACAAAATTCTAATAAGTTTTATAAGGAAAGAGAATTATTCTATTAATTTAATAATAAAGTCTAATAAATAAAGATTTATTTTGTCACATGTCAATTTCTCATTAGTTTTGACACTTGTTATTTTATTATATTTTTAAAATAAATAATATTCACATGTCAATTTTGGGGGGTTTTTTTTCAAATTTTAAATTAAAAGGTCACATAATACCTATATATTTATATATGTAAAGTATTAAATGTAATAAATGTGATAATAATTATAATTAATAGGTTTCTTTATTCCTTATTTCAAAACTTTATTTAAAAAATACTTAATGTCTATATTTTAATATTAACTAGTAAAGAACCTGCGGCTATGCCGCTTTTGGGGTAATATCGGAAAAATCGACAAACTTTAAAAGATAAGTGCTGAAATTGTAAATCACCAAAAATAGGGAAGAAAGTCGACAACCCCTAAAATTAGATGTCAAAAGTGTACAACCAAAAGAAGGGACACTGGTGGAGAAAATTAAAAAATGTTGTGACAATAATGTTAAAGTTGTCAAAGTTGGGAAAATATGGTGGCAAAATTCAAAAGGAGGTTTTTTGTGTTTTTATGTCAAAATGTAAATGTTTTGAGTACAAGGACGAAAAGTGTCAAATTCATTAAAGATTTGTGGCAAAAACACCAAAATGTAAAACTTTTGATTGGAATGACTAAAAGTGTCAAAGTCACTAAACATTTGTGGCAAAAACCTAAAGACACAAAAACTTAATCAAAACACAAAAATATAAAATTTTTGACTTTAGGGACGAAAAGTGTCAAATTCACCAAAGATTTGTGATAATAACCTAAAGGCCAAAAAATTATTGTTGCTAAGGGCCTTGTGATTTAATCATTTGTTTAATCAATCTGTATAGTACGCGGTTTTACATCTAGTAAAAATAATATTAAATTAACTTTCATATTCTTTCCATTTACGGAGATATAACATTTATAATCTTATACTTTTAATTTTTGATCAAATATATAGAGCAACCGTAAACAAATTTCGCTCTATAGAGATTATAAAAGCACAATTTTGCGAGCAATTGTTCCAACTCATAAGCGAAGAAAAATCAATATACAAACAATACCAACATTAGTAATGAAGCTTATAAGCATGTATGGTATACTTGTATTACTTATCACAACATCAATTGCAACATCAACATCAACAGGTAATTTTACATTTTTTTTATCGTTATCTATATATGTGTATCTAAGAATTGTTTGATAAATGAATCGTTTTTTTTGTTGAATGATTTTAGTTTTTTTTACAATTCAAAAAAGGTAAAATTCTTTAATTGTTAGAGGCCCTTTAAAGACTTTTGTTTTGTTCGTAGGCCTTTTAAAGACTATATCAAATACAATCAATGATCGATTCAATATGAAATGTGAATGATTTCACTCGTATATTATCAAAAAAAACATAAATCTTTTATGGCTTTAATGTATTTTTTATAACGAAGAATGTGTAATATTGTGACTTGTTTTAGGTGTTGTGGATACCGAGACGAAGATAGTAATCAGCTTTTGTCATATTTATCTCAATTGGGGAAGCAGTTGTCAAGATGACAATTGCAATGCTTATTGTAGAAAATTTAAGGGGAAATTCGCAAAGGGGAATTGTGAAATGATGGATGGCGCAGTAAAGTGTCATTGTCAATGGGTTTGTTAAAAAAAAAATCAAAGCTTTTGTAGGTCTATTTAGTTACTACAAATAAAATTAGTTATTAATGTTGAGATTTTCCATATTCCTAGTTGTTGTGATTGATTATGCTGAAAATTTAGGAACAAACACTGTTCTAAGGCCATTTGGAGTGGGTGTCCTGAGACATGTTCGTGGTTGATATGGTAAATTGGTGAAAATATAAACACCATCCATTATAATTAGGCTAAACGGAATGTATCTCCAACTTACGCATAATCTGAATTGGCAAGGCCAAGTCATGCGTGACTTGTGGGGCAACATCGCCTCTAGTGGTAGTATAAGGTCTCGTGAGTCGAGCTACGAGAAGTTACAAGAGAAAAATAAGTTTTTTTTTTTTTTTTTTTTTTTTTTCTTTTTTGTTGGAATTAAAAAAACTAAAAAAAAATGTTATGTAACTGATAGGTATTTTCTAATGTGAGTAACGATTAGTAGGAAAGTTATGAAGTTGAGTTCCGTTGTGATGACATGCTTTTTGATTAAGAAAATTAAGAACCACTCCTTAGTCTTATAGTTACCATCATAATTAATAACGCCCAATCATACTTACTCTCTCTCTTTATATATAAATTTAGTAAATTAAATAACTATTTAATTAAATAAATATAGATATTAAATGATTTCCATAATTATATGTATATTAAATGATATCCATAATTATAATTCTTTTTTTATGGAAACTAATTAAATCCGTCATTAATGTCAGCAATAACATTCTTTCAGAATGAATTCGCATCTAGGTTTTTATATATGAGTTCGTATTTTGTTTCAGGACTCACTCACTTAAAATATAATAAAGTTGCATTGAATATGAAGAACGGGAGTGTATTCTACTAGAATACACTCTCATTCTGCTGGAATACACTCTCATTTTTCTAGATATGAATTCATTCTGAAATAATATTATTGTTGACATTAATGACGAATTTAATTGGTTTCCATAAAAATGAGTTATAAGTATGGATAGCATTTAATATACATATAATTAATATTAAAATCCTATTGGTTCATTTTAGCACACAATAGATGTGAAAAACATTTGAACCTACCCTCTCTCTCTCTCTCTCTCTCTCTCTCTCTCTATATATATATATATATATATATATATATATATATATATATATATATATATATATATATATATATAGAGAGAGAGAGGAGAGAGCTAGGTTCATGTATTCTAACTATCTATTGTGTGGATGTAGGAATCAATATAGGTTAATCATTTCAAAAGGGTAATTATGTAATCTTACATTTAATTAATATTTTTAATTTAATTAATTTGATATTAATCCCAAATCAAATCCGACAATTATTTATGACTTTGTTAATTATAATTAATCCTAATAATATATATCTATTATCATCATTTGTACATGAAGATTGCACTGTCCTACGTTTCAAAATCCATACATCGTCCAATTACATCCGCCTACGTGCTTCATGTTCGCCTTTATCTCCCGACGATGACGCTGGTTCTTAATCTCTTGCGACTGTAGAAGAGATGATAACCGGAGTTGTCCCCTACCCCGACAACGTTGGTTCATAATCCCACTTTTTTTAGGCATTCAGTTCAAGCTCATCTCTGACTACTTCTTCCTCACTGTGCACACAAGTCTCGTCTGATCTTCACGACACACATAGTTATCGGTATTCTTGTCATTTGATTCCTCACATCCTAAGGTGTTTTTGAGAACATGTATGTCTTCTTAACCTACTTTCTACTCAAAATTTCGGTTCTCCCTATTCAGTTTTGATTTGAAATTGAAATGGGTTTCCATAAATGTTGTTCTTTTTTTCTTAATCGATCTCATCTGCAATCGTTAATAAGATTTAATTCATCTGGGTAATTCTTATTATTTGAAATTGGTAAATGCTAAGGGTTATTTCATTATGCCCTACAAGTGTTTGATGTAATGCCAAAGAATACATTTCAACAAAATTTGGTGTTTTTGGGAACATATATGTGTTCTTAACATATGTTTTACTTAAATCTCTTACTTTCTACTCAAATGTCTTACTAAAAATGGTGATACAAATGCAAATGCATCTTACATGTAATTTTTTTTTGTTTTAGTTCCTATTTGGACGTGCATCTTACAGCGGGTTGCCAGATTCCATGGGATTTTGTGGGAATTGGATATAGGAAAATTATAGGGTTTGTAGTGGAGATCTGGATACCAACTTGGATCGTGAGAACACTTTCCGAACTGATATTTTCTACCCTATGCCTGGGTTGCAAGAAATTCAGCCTAGGATAATCCAAGTGAACACTTACGATTCTAGGCACATAAATCGTAAGCCAAATTGCTAGAAAGATTTTGTGAGTGTATGAAAACCGAGAGCTAATTATCGTGTGTGTTTTCCCATAAGGAAGAGTCGTTTATATAATAAACGAGATTAGGGTTTCATTAGGATTGGGCCGCCATTAGTTGCTTTGGAAGCAAGTTAGGGTAATCCGGATTTTAATGAGGATTTAGGGTTACCAAAACTAACAAGTTTCGTTAGTTTTACCATAATCACCCTCAAGAATCTGAATTTTCCACTATGTTTCCATATGTAAAATTTGGTGAGGTTTTGGGGCTCTGTCCCTTGGACCCCATCCAGGGGCGCTGCCCCTAGACCCCACCAAAGGGGGTGCCGCCCCTTTCGAAACCCCAGACCCAGGGGCGCTGCCCCCGGACCCCCAACTTGTCGTCGAACCGGCTTCTAATTCGATCTTATACATGCGTGCACTCCGCACCAACATGTACATATAGTAGAGTACAAATTATGAATCCCTTCAGCTCGCATGTTAGTTCCAGTTACATAAATGACACGGTGACACTAAAATCACTAATAATCCTCCCCCATTTTAGTGTAACCTTTGAACAAACATAACCTTATCAAAACAAACCAAACTAGTACATAATGAAAATATCGAAACAATTGAATTTCCACTTAGTATCATACATTTACAAATACTCAAGAATCAGGGTGTTCTAAGAATTGAACCCATCAACCCATTTGAATACCAGAAAGTAAAATACATACTAGTTTATTGAATTTCTAGCAAAATAAAACTTGACACTATTATAAAGACGTGTCTCCCAATCCTCTCATGATCGTATCAAGGTCAAGTCCACAACCTCTTCAAATGCGGCTACACTTCACAATCACGTAGGTAACTCCTTTCCATATATCTGCACATAAACTTATCAAAGGAATTATTAAGAAGTTAAACTTCAACCTGGCTAACTTGCAGAACCGAATACATACCTGGGATGAATACTTCATGTGTTCCAATCTATAAGTATGAGCTTTCCATATTGAATTCAACTCCTAACATTATATTAGGAGGGAATTGGGTGTCTCATCATTATAGAATTAAACGAACTTTAATCCCATCCTGATTACAGACTTGTGCACTAAGTCTCTTGTCAGACCTTTAGTCAAGTGATCCGCCAAATTTTGTTGCGATTTCACAAACTTAACCGAAATCACACCATTCATGATTAGTTCTCTAATCATACTATTGTTGGATTAGGTGTCTAAGCCCATAACTATAATTTGTATGTACTTGACCCGAGAGTAGCATGGTCCATTTCGGGTTGCATATCACCAGGACAATTTGATAGGATGGATATTTGAGTAAGAGGTTATTTATGATTTACTAATATATTATAAGTATAATATATTAATGAAGAAATCATATTATTTAATTAGTATTGATCAAGAATTAATTTGGAATTAATTTAGTGATTAAAAGAGACTAATTAAATTAACGGGGACTGGTTATGTAAATCAGTGATATTTAATTAGGAAAAATGTGAATTTGATGCTAACCCATGAAATTGCACTTTGCACCTTGCCAAGTCATTAGTGGAACGTGTGTGGTTAACCGACACACTAACTTGGACTATCAAGGGTGGCAAAGGGTATCTCGATGTTTGTCATAGATCAACGGAGCGTGTGTGGTTAACCGGCACATTGATTAGGCGATAAATGACATCGAGAGTACCAAGCTAATTTTCATGGTTATTCACACCTTGTTTGTGACCCTCGGTATCCCAGTCACAAACTTGAAGGGCATAATCAAGATTAAACATGTCATTGAAAAGTTCAATGAATCTCAAAAGAATCTAAGAATTTCAATTCATTTAAAACTTAATAATCAATTTTGTTTTTCATGGTGGAAATTGGTAAATCGGCATTTACCTACCTTCAAATATTTTGCAATTGGATTACGGCATCCCTCTTCCGAATTGTAAAATATTGTGTTGGGTCCTGGTGGGATGTCAAGTCCACCAAGCAAATTACACCCTTTGATTTCTAAATAAACGTAATATAATGGTAAAAAGGGGTATCGATCCTCGGGGAAATGGTTGTATTCAATCACCAATGCAATTCAATAGAACTAGTGAAATTAAACTAACTAACTATAATTAAACTAAAAGGGGGGGGGGTGTGTTTGATTACTTGAAAACTAAAATACTTGAATAACTAAAAACCTTGCAATTAAGCAAGTTGATGAGATGCTCAAAGGTTGGGAATAATTGGTTAACTAAGGCAATTCAACACAATGAACATTTGTGTGTTTATCATTAGGATCTAATACAAAGCTTATCCTTCATCCCAAATTGGATAGCCATCAATGAAGCAATGAAGCATGATATGCCAAGATTCCTCATAGGTAGTATGGAGGTTGGGAAGCCCACAACACACCTTCTTAATTAAGATCAAGGGTCAATTGAAGCAATTAATCCCAAGAAATCAATTAGCCTTAAGAATGAAGGAATCCCCAATTCCTAGAGGATGTCAAATGCTTACACATCCATAAAGGAGCTATGATTCATAAGCTAGAGATGATTTCTCACCATCATAAAGCCTTTGTTCTAGATAAATTCAATGATCCAATGCAAAATCAATGAAACAAATCAACCATTGCTCAATCAAATACTAAGCTCATGATCAAAGCATCAAATAAGCAT